TAAAACAGCTTAGATGAAACTATTAGTTTGGAACAGTTCACACTCTGTTTTGGCCACACATGAAATGCAACTCCAAGCGGGCGGAAGCCTCTCTTCTGTCCTACAATGGTTAGCCGTGGATGAGTTAGTGAGTAAACACTCGTGAGTAGGTAAGAGCTTGAGCAGGTGAGTAGGTGGAGAACACTCACAGTGACTCAATCACTTTTGTGACTATGCAACTACAGGAAGAGGAGAGTTGCATAAGCACAAAAATGACTGAGGCAGGAGCAGGTTAGTGCCGTGAAGATGACTAGATGGAAATTAGCCAATCAAAACCACTAGCTTCAACGTGTTAGTGTGAAATCGGAAAGTCCAAACATTAGTTTCTCGAATTTAGCTTTAACTGCCAACTTCTTAAGTCAAAAGTGAGGCTTAATATGTTCAGCCATACATTTCAAGTTCAATCAACACAGAAAAACCACACGCGGTGTTAGGTAGAACACGGTTAATAAAAAACTGATAGATAGTTACTGACTGTGGGAAGAGGTTAATTTAAAATTATTTTGCAAGATAGTGAATCTCTGACACTCACATGAAGCACAATGTATAACTACAAATCGCTGAAGCCAAAAAAGTTAGGCTACATGTACCTAGCCTTTTCTGATTGGACAATATTCACTTTTCTACTTTGCAAGCTTTGGGAGCAAGATAACTTCTAATAAAATGAACGAGAAGATGTAATGCATCTGTTGAGTTTTAGAGTAGGACCTTTCGAGTGGTAAATTCTGCATTTCTGGCCGGGCTGCAAAGACATCTTCATGATAAACTGGTCTGGCTGCGATGTGTAATACCATTATAAAAAGGCTGCAATATGAAAGCAGATGGAATTGCCAAAAAGTGGACAGAGTGCTGCTTTAAGATCAATTTACACATGACAATGAGGCGGCCAGAGATAATGCAATGGTCACTGCAGTATGGAACACACATTAAAGGGGCAGCTGCTTCACACTGTGAAAACATCAGCAAGAATATGGTAAAAAAGTCGGCAAGAAAACAATTTCAATTAAAGAGGTGGCTTCAGTGTGAAGATTAAAGAAGGAAAAATGTAAATTAGAGAGTAATGACATATTTCTCACATCACCTGGCAATTGTGGAAACTTGAATAATTAATATTTCGTACATGCGACCTGCAAAGCAACTTTTTTCCACTCATTTTCTACATCTAAAAAGGAGAAAGAACAGTTACTAACTTCCAGGCAACAGATAAGAAGTTAGTTTCCAACAAGGAATCTAACAGATTTAGGGAAGGGGAGATTGTTATCGAAAGTCCCCTCCAAACTACCTGTCTACGCGTCTCCGTGCATTTCTAATGGAGTGAAGACCTAGACCTAGCTCTAGACAACAGATACGGAGGCAGCCTAACTCTTTAACCCTAATTGTGGGTGGGGGAAAAAAGTTAAGCAAACCACGTACTGCCAAAAATTGCCAAAATCTTTAACAAAGCGACAGACTGACAGGCAAACTGTTCACAGAAATCAGCCCCGACAGCCACCCTTTTCCCTTCTTTTTCTCCTTTTTGTTCCTTTTCTGTAAAATATCAGAAAATCGGCCCCGGCATGTGATCCCTGCCCTTGGAAATGAGCCAAATTAGCGAGGCATCCAGTCAACCGACAGACACTTTAACATCAACCTGGGCTAGATTCCCCCCCCAACCTCACATCACCGACAGCCAATTTTCAGACTTGGTGAACTACCGACATTGGGCAGTAGATATTTTCGTAGTAAGACAAGTCCACTGAGGGGCCCCTGGGTGCCCCTAACGTGACCTCTCCCTCTCTGGAGGGAAACTAAAATATCTAAAAATAGCAACACAGGAATCTGACATATGCAACAAACTTGTTTGATATCCATACATTCCGCTCTAGAAATGCACGGTCTTGTGATCACATCTTGCCAGCTTCAAGCACAGAATACGATTTAAGAACCATTTTTTGAGGCGAATAATTTCAAAAGCAAATGTCAAAAATTAGAAGACAGTTGTTTTTTTTTTCTAATTTCTATTTCAAGCGGCAGGCTGAATGCTGATGCTGAAACTGTGAAACTCATCAGGGTAGTTTGTTGCTTTAAACAACTTGTTTTTCCCGAGTTGAATTTTTTAGGTGGTTTATTAAGTTTTTACACAGTTTTTCGAGACAAACTCAATAAACTTGTTGCCTTGAAACGATCTACCTTCTGCCACATACGATTTCAATTGCTTAATTACTCCCCGGAGCAGGAACAGCCTAGGGCGTAACCCACTGGCAATATAATGTCTGGTACCCTGATGGGATTTGCAAGAACTGCTCACAAAATAGTGTGAATAAGGGGAAAAAAAGTGTCAGACGCAGACAGTGAGTTCTGTGCCTCGGGTACAAAGTTGTTTGCCTTTCCTTGTACATCCACATCCAATTACCAACTGTGAATTGCTGCCCCCTCAGCAACCAGGTATTAAAGTGGCTGTAGAAACCCCTCTGGAATTAGAATGTCAATATCAACCAACGATCGCAGACAGGGACATCTGCATAAGGTAATTAAGCAAACTATCCCCTGAAGGTAAAAGATTTTAATGAGGGCAGTCGTGGCGACCCCCCCCCAAAAAAAAACAACCAAGGACTGGAAACTATCAGGGAATTATGCAAGACGGAATAAATTATAAAGTTTGAATCGGACGGGGTCAAAGGCCAGCTCGGTTCCCCTCTGCTTCATCAGTGTCAACAGGACTAATGGCCAGCTCAAAAGATTTTAGAGATAAAAGTCTGTGCAGATGTGTCCTGCCAAGATTGTGAGACTGAGAGAAAAATGAAGCTTCCTTCGGATACGAAAATGAATGAGGACGATTGAGTCTTTCAAATTACATTCCAGCAGGTAATTTGCGGCATGTGATAGGCCATGTGTATTGCATGCATTACTTCAGAGACAATCTCATTGGGAATCAAAACTACATCAGCAATGCAGAAAAAAAAGTGCAACGAAAAAACTTGAGTTTTCCAGTCATATTTTGAACTTCAAACATGTTTATAGTTGGTAAGATTCTTCTAAAGATAAGTAGGTTAAAGAGCTGATCAAGGCAGGCTTTGACTGATGAATGACTGTCACTGGCCACACGATACCGCGCTCTGACATCTGAGAGGAAAAACAGCTTTGCTTCATTCAGCACTGACAACCTGGAAAGACTTAACAAGGATTAAGATGCTGCAAGGAGGTTAAAAAAACATATTCGCACAATCTAGAGAGATAAAGCTGGTGAAGAAATGTTAAGATGAACTGCATCCGCTGGTAATTTCAGAAGGACAGACTCAGGCTGGTCCAAGGTTGCAACGCCGTGAAGATCAAGGTGGTGAGGTCGGGAATGCCCGAAAAACTACAACCGGGGCGACTCGGATTCAAGTTCAGCTCAACTTACTACTGGGTTGCAAAGACTTGGCAAGGGGATATTAGTGATTCTGCCCACTGAATTCTCAGTCTCGTTCTCAGGGCAATTCCTTCCATCAGATGGAGAGATTGTCAAATTTCCCAACTTCTCCAGGCTACAAATTTTGCTCTAAGCCATCGCCTGCAACAACTGAGACATCGGTCGCTCAATTCCTATTAGGCTCCTCTGCCACAGACTCAGCAAACTGCTCCACTGATCTGAAATACATACCATGAATATGAATGATCACAACTGCCCTATGAATATTCACAATCATAAATATCTATCATGAATATTCAGGTTTTAACTAAGCTAGCTTAAATCGTTGACATCATCACTCAGAATCTGACTGTCCACAAAAATTGTTTATTACAAACAACTAGAGTCATCGCAGTTTGTATTTTGGACATCAACTTGCCGCAAGACAACGATTGGCAAGGTGGATGGGGGGGAATCCCTTCCTGCCTTTGTCAGCGCCTGGGGGTAAGGAACAAATAAACACCAAGATGGGGTAACATGACCCTTCTCTCCAAGAAGGTCTTGGTCCCGGCTCAAGCAGACGAAAACAAACTCCCAAACTTTGTGGGAGATGCGGAAATGGTGATAAGACCCTGTGCATTGCAGGGGCCATCTACAACTCCGGGACAATTAAAACCGACTTGGTCAGCATCCTGTCTCTCCCAGTTTCCCCCTGCGGATGGGCGCAATGACCGCGCTGACGGTCACTCGACAGACCACCTCTTTACTGATCGCACGTCTTGACCCAAAGCCGCTGGGCAGGCAGCACGTATTTATTTTGGGTGCTGACTCTCCTCTGCTATTTTTGCGGGTGGGCACAAATCTGCCTGTTGATAGTTGAGAAGTAACAGGTTCTGTGACCAAACGGAAACAATTTGCACTTTCCTTTTCTTGCTGCATCAGCGTCGCAACAGGTTGTCCGCACTCCTCGTTAAATTAATGCCATTTAATTGCACAACTTAGAGGCTCTATAAAAAGATCGCTATATGGATGACCATGCAAATCACTTTGGAGGTGTGGGCCAGAGCCAAGTAGAGTAACTCCTCCAAATCTATTTTTAACATCAAGCTACACTTGTGAATTGCGTTAAATCTCAACTGCTGATGTTGAAAACTCACTGACAAACCTACCCCGGCATACAAACAAACAAACAAACAAACAAACAAACAAACAACCCAAAAAACAAACAAACAAACAAACCCCCAACAAACAAACAAACAACCCCAACAACCCAACAAACAAACTGTGGGAAAAGATCTCAACTTGTGCATGCACCTCTGCCATTAGGATCAGAGGTGAACAAATTCATACATATCGACAACTGCACTGCACAGCTGCACTTGACTGACCTCAACAGAGGGCGCCCTACAGCCAACTCACCCGTGTGCTTTGCACAGGGCGGGAAGTAATAATTTCATTATGCTCAACTCCGTTGCATAGCAAATCATGTTGTAGACTGACATCAACAGAGGGTGCCCTACAGCAAGACAGGAGATGAGCTGTAAGTTTATTAAAAAAAAAAAAACCAACCACAAACCAATCATGACTTTACCTTCTGAATTCCAACAGAGCTTTAGGCGAAGGTGGTATACCGTTCTCGGGCCAGGTCAGGAAGTGGAACTGGGTCACTGTCCTCGTCTCTTGTGTCTGAGGAAAACATAAAAATGGGTGGACGGTTTGAGGGGGTTGATTGATTTGTTTTGTTTTTTCAAAAACTAATAGAAAGTCCTGTTGACTGAAGATTGAGCGTATCTAGTGAGGAATGAGATAGGAGACTTTAGGTGACCTACATTTCTCACACAGGGGTAATGTCAGCACAGTGTGTAACACCAACAGGTTGCATCTAAGCTGCCTCAGTGTACTACCAAGTATCCTGATGAACCCTCAGTGCATTATGAAAAACACAGGTTTTTGGCAAATGGGTAATCTTGGCATGGTGGGTACATGTTGTCCCAGCATACTGTAACTGTGGTGTATTTCCACCAATCCTGCAAATAATTAACTGGGTAATCTCAGCACAGTGGGTATCCTAGCACACACACCCAACCCACATCAGGGCATCACCCCCCCCAAAAAAAGAAAAAGCGGATTGTAACCAACAGGTAATGTCAGCACAGTGGGTAAACCCAGCACGCCGTGCCCACCTCGGTGTTCTTGAGATAGAAGCTGCGGACGAGGTAGTCATCGCACCACACGTGCTCCGAGACCAGGTGGACCTCGTAGAAGTGGTAGCGGGTGCCGCCCTCTGATGGCCAGTACAGGGTGCGCACGGTGTCCGCGTCCGTCATAGGGGTTAGGTTGACGATGACAACGACGCCTTGCTCCCATACCATCTGGTTGACAACAAAAGAACAGAAAAACCTTCATTCAAATGCCCAACAGCACAGCTGCCTAACTGCAACGGCCGAGCAGATTTGGGCACTTTCAAAAACAGAGTCCAAGACTTTCCAGGCATAATGACAGGCACTGAGCTACAGTCATGAGCAAAAGTTAAGGACCACCCAGACAAAATGCACAAACCTGAAGAAAGACCAAACCTAAACCAATCAATTATGGCAACTCCTGTTTCTTTTCAATGTGTAGCCTTATGTATCTTGGTTAAACAGCTATTGGACTACATTTCCATGATTTGAAATGTTAACAGTCTAATATTTTAATGTGCCCTCCTTTATTTCAGATTACTTAGATTGGCTTTTTTTACGCAAGCTGCCTTACAGACAAAGTGCCATACAAGACCTTCCTTTGCAAAAAAATTCATTCAAATGGGTATACAGCACTACACGGATGTTATGCACCACTTTAAAAGCATGTTAAGTAATCATTCCATGAGACAATGTAATGCAGGTCCAGTGACAGAAATACCACTGAAATTCCAGGTGGTCTTAAATTTTTTGCAAATGACTGTACAAGTTATAACGTGGTGCCCATATGCACCAACCGGCTGGGGTCATGTCTGAAACCTTGCCTCTTGTTCTGTTTTCCCCTGTTGGTCCCTGAGTTTGGAGATTCCAAACAAGTCTGAGTCAGTGTCTTACGGCTGAAACACGGAGCCAGTGATTGGGCTCTTTTCATCAGGTCTCCATGGGGGGGGTATGGGGCCGTGCGCTGCATTCACGCTAGAGGTCCGTGCCCCCCTTGCGCCCTCCCCAATCAGACATTACAGAAAGGAAACAATCTGGTGAGAGTCTGCAGCTGTGACCAAACCCACTGAGTGCCCCCCTCGTGTCCCCCTCCCGGGCCCCCAGATGCCCTCCTGCAAAGTGCTACTTGCCCCAAGGCAATTTCCGTGACACCCCCTTGCATGTGTGTACAAAGACTCAATGACCATGTACCCTAATCGCAAAGGCTGCCCTCTAACGACAATGTCCTGCCACACCCTTCAAATCAGTTCAGCGTTTGCGCGTACAATATTATTAAAAGTCAAAGGCCAGGGCACAGATACGCACTATTGCACACATAGGGGCAACAATGAAAGATCGACTATCGTTATGTAGATGTAGTTGGCAGACAATTTCACGAGGAGACCAACAGTTAAGAAGCATGGATTCATTACTTCACCAAAGCATCATCAACTACACTGCTCAGCAAATAATCAAGAGAGATTATTATTTCACGGCAGTTTGAACTTGTCTCTTCCTTCTTCATAAAACAAAATTTACAAGTCTGAAGGGCACTCTCAATGGTACGTGCTTCCTTGTTCTGCTTTGTTTTCCAACTGCGCGCTCGACTGCTACTGTCTTGTAACTGGCGGTTCAAGGCACTTGTCAATCAAGATGTTGATAAGACGGTGAACAGAATGTGGAGGACTTTGAGCCGAGACGGGTCCAGGTTGCCATGACAACTGGACAGCTTGAGGGCACCGGTCACGGCCCTGTCATTTTATGTGGGCAGCGAGCCCCGTTCGCTCTCACTCTCTGTCTGTAACCATCTCCTGACATTTTGTGAGAGTACAGGCTCATCGGGCGCATTATAATTAATGCGATCGGGGCAACGACACGCAGAGCTTGATGCGAAAGTCTGTTCCCCCCAGCTCCCGGTCTTAAAATACTTTTTTGTTATTTTGGCCGTTACCTGACCATGATATCGAGCAAGATGTTTGTTGGAACGAATCCGACTACTGCAAACTTGCAGAACTGCTCGATATCTTTGACCCTGCCAAAGGCTGGCAGTATCCTTTTTAAGACATTCCAACAAGATTCTACAAGGGTTAAAATGTTTGGCTTTCCCAGATTTTTCTTTAAATGTCAGAGCACTTTCAGTTGATTGCACGGCTTGCTAGATTTCTGGCATAGATCCATTGACAGCACTTGGATAATGTTATTAACTTCAATACATTTGGGGTCAATTCATTTCACAGGGAGATGGCCCACACTGGATGAATTTCTCCGCACGAGGCCGTCTGTGACATTTCCAACCATTTTTTTGTGTGTGTGTGTGTGCGGTAATGTTGTAAATTTCTGAGTAACTGTGTATGCTTGACATTTAAGTCATGGATTGCTGGGGATCTGTTTTCAAGCAGTTTAAGACTGACTCATCCAAGTCCCTGTTTGGCAAATGGAGATCTCCATCACAGACTAACATGAATAGTCCTAACATCAGTCCACAATGACGGCTTGTGCTCTGGCTCAACTGCTGCTAACCCAATTACAGCAACAGCAGAGATCCCTAAACATGGCTGTCTTAATAAAGTAAGCTTATTTTCACGCGCTCTTATTTCCCCTTAAGGCAATTTCAAGGGGGCCTGTGCAAATATTTCAGATTAAGGTGATGCCTTGCCATCTCTTTCTTAAGAAGAAAAATCAAAAACAAAAAACAATGGCTGAAATCCTTCTCACTTTTTTCCCCCTCTTTCTGCTTTACCATCAAGAGTTACAGTTCTAATCTCTACCTGGGTGTCACGGTAAATCACTCGCTAGGGGCTGACGAGACCCTCTCTGTAAATCAAATCACAATCACCAGCCGGCCAAACGAGAGGGTGCTCACAGAATGTGGCGAGGTTCACGGGCGCTGGCGGAAAGAATGGGGCCTGCAAAATGGCTGCATTAGCACAATTAACGCATTCGTTGCCGGTCGCGAGGCGTGATCAGCAATGTGCGTAAAATCACCTCTCTTAGAGCTTACTTGTTACGTCGGGTGCATCAGAGTACGTCCAAGGGGAGAAATGGTTGGGAATTTTCTTTTGAACCTCCCGTCCTCCCAATGCTTTTAGACTGAAGACGAATTACTCAATCACTCAGGCGGATTTTTTTTTTTAACTTTGAGAGAACTGTTAATGTATTCCTCAGAGTGCATTGATACGATTATGCTTAAAATGGGTTTATAATCGAAATTCAGGAAACTAAAAGCTCCACGTTCATGACAAAACCAAGATCTTGCTCCAAAAGAGAAACTAATGTAACGTCCCATTGTTATTTAAAAAAAAGTGACAATTTGCTGACTGTCTAAAAACCTTGATTTCAAATTTTTCACATCATATATACTTTCTTAAAAATGACATGTCTGTGTACCAGTGTTGTATTCAAGTCCATCGCAAGCCCTTTTGCAAGGCCAGTCACAAGTCCCTTAACAAGGCCAGTCACAAGTCCAGTCACAAGTCCAGTCACACGTCCCTTAACAAGGCCAGTCATAGTAACAGGGTTAACAGTGACAAAAGAAAGCTTTTCTCACAGCTCATTTGAATAGCTTGTGAATTGGCTCAAGACTGAATGACTCCTGATCGACTTACAGGGACTTGTGATGTACTTGAATACAACACCGCTCTGTACCACGATAAGTGGAAACACTGCATCTGAACAGTCGTGTTGAAAGGTTTATGGTCGCTTACCCACGTCAAAAAGGAATCTCTTATTAAATATTCATCATCTGACCAACAGCCTAACCCCTTTTCCTTGATGGCAAGAATATTAAGAAGCAGTGGAATATGCATAAACAAGTAATGAATAAAAAAAGTTCTGTCGTTTTTTTGGCACTGTGCCGTAGATGCCAAAATGATGCGCAAGCCAGGACCTGGCGACGCAATCTAGTCAGGTTCTCGTACTTTTAAGCGGCACCTCAATGCTCTTATCGTCCAAACCGGTAGCTGCACAGAAGGCAGGATATCGGGTGTCGCGGTGCAAAGTAAACGCGATAATGTCAAACGCCTCACAAACTCCACTCGAGACCCTTCAGGCAATTAAAAATGTCAGAGTCAAGTTACGAGACTAATCAATCTTTTAAAGTTGGGCAAAGCTGTCCTACAATCTTTGCCGAGGTGCACAACATCACTGGACTCATTACCAAGTTATTTTTCCCCCCCCACGTCTTTGGCAGACTGTCTCTATGGTCCGTCTTGTTAGGTCAACATTTGAATTCTGCATCACTGTTTGCACTTGTGTGATGAAGCCATCTGTTGAATGAAATTATTTTAGGCAATGGACAACCATTTTTTTTTCTAGTAAATCCTAAGAAACTCTCCTTTTTGCCCAGTCTTAGATGACAAAGTATGACACATTCTGTTAAGAAATATTTTATCCCAACTTCATTAACAGTTTTACTGTTCACATATCTTTTTTGGGGGGCGGGGGTTACTTTATTTAGATGAAAAAAAGTACTTTAAGATGTGATCTTGTCCTCTGAATCCATTTTTAAAAAATCCACCCCAATGGTCCACTGGTTATTTACAAACACGGTGCATGTACATTGTTCATGCATGTATCACATCTTGCGCCGTGAATGATTAATAAACCTACTGGTTTCATCATTATCCATTTTCTTTAAAGTTCACCTACGGTTGCAAACCTTTTCTCTTCCAAGATTTTTAATAAATTCTTTAATCTTCACATTTAAAAAAAGTATTCTATCTATGAATAATTTGCATGAGTTTCATTTTCGTTACAACTGTTCCAATTGGGCCTCTGGCTGTGATGACATATTTTAATAAAGCAATTCAAATCAAGTGCCTATTTTCCTTTACACATTGAGTTTTGACTAGTCAAGTATAACGTCTTACTAGTCAGTTATTACATGTTGTCATCAGATGCTACATCCTACTGCTCACGCAGCAACTCATGTTTGGGTACCGAGTCCCAGTCAGGAGCTATGTCCTAGTCGTCGAACATCCAGATCTTTAGGGCCAAATTTTACTGCTCAAGTACTGTTGGCTGCTCAAGTTCCAAGTTTTAATACCGCTCATGTTCCAGGTCTTTCTGGCCCGAGTTCCAAGTCTTTCTTGTCAATTCCAGGTCGTCCTAGTCAGGTCCATTCCAAGTCCTAGTCAGGCACTAAGTCTTTTTGGTCAAGTACCTTCAAGTAGTCTTTCAGTTAAAGTTCCAAATCTTTCTGGTGGAGCACTTAATTAGCTAATCTTGTCCAAAAACTGAGTCTTACTGGTCAAGCATTAAAGCTCTTTAGTATCAAGTACCAAGTCCCACTACTCAACAACCGAGTCTCTTTGGTCACGTCTCGACAGAGTATGCAAGAGACAAGCCCATTCAGAGGACGACAAACGAAAAAGGTAGACAATGTGTCCGGTTAGCCTACCTGCCAGAAATCTGCTATTGTTGAGGTCAAGGGTGCCTGAGTTGCAATGTAGGCTGGGTTTCTTGGATCAGCATCAGCCTGAAAATGAACAACAGTTTATTAGAATTGAGTATCTTCACAACGTTTCCTTCAGATCGGTTTCAGACTGGCGCTCAACTATGTGCCATTGAGCACATCTTAACATTTTGTGCTGCTCTCCAGCATACAGATTGCTCACGTTCGTACTAAATCTTGGACTGCAACCGAAATGAAACAAAAGAATTTCCAGCAAAGTACATTACAACTTTCTAAGAACCCTTGCAAAGGGAACAGCACCGCCTGCGTATACGCCAAGTTTCGCTTCAGTGTCCTCCACGCAGGAGGCGTTTTTCATCCGCCGTTTCATTACGGTCCGAGGTATCAGCTCATTTCTCCTTCCGCTCCTTGTTCCGGCATTTCCCACTGTTCCCGCGGGGACGACCACTCTTCCCCCCCCCCTCTCTGTGATGAAGGCGTCATTATAATCTTAATTCCCGCAGATATTTGATATTGTGAGGGGACCGGGCGACCGCGCCTTAATAACCACATCATCAGAGCCTCACTTGCTTCCAGATGAAAAATAAAAGAGAAGAAAGCCAGCTGATGAGGAATGTTGCCCATTTCAATACCCCGTTAGAAAAAAAAAAAGACTGGTGTAATTTTCTGGGGCCACTGCAAAGACAGATTAATCACGCTATGATTGGAAAATGAAATTTGACCCCTCCGGCGCATTCCCGCGCTGTTTATTTTGTGGAGTTCGCTTCAAGTGGAATAATAACCGTCACATGGCCTGTCCGTTTTCTGCGTCTGAATATTCTACGGGACCTGGTCGCAGGGGAAGGAAATTCACAATGGATGTGCTGCTGAGCCGCTGCCTAATTTTAATCACCGCTCAACGCTGCAAAACACTCCCAGTTCTGATTACTATGAGAGAATTTACCACTCCGGCTGAATTTGGTTGCATAATAACAGACTTCTTGTAGTTGATGCTGAATTGCTTTACTTAGGAACACCCCCAAAAAATATAAAAATAAACAAATATTGTATGGCACAAATTCCAAACACCATTTATGAAAAACGTGCTCCAGGAAAAAAGTGCAGACACAAACATACATCTATGAATTTTTTCCTATTAATAAACCGTAAAAAATACCTCCCTTGTCTTACCTTAAAATGAAGGCCCACGCCTGTGGAATTTTAATTATGTATCGGAGTGGATCTGACTTCGGCGAGAGTGTTTTCAGATGTCTGAATGTTTGTGCATGCATAATAGGCCGGCGCACAGGTTCCTTACTCTTGTGGGGTCACGATAACGGTTCAGTTGAGTATTCTTTTGATCTCTCTAGTTTTTACCACGTTTATTGAACGGTCATGGACCGCCTGGAGCATGTTTTGTGCCAACGACTTTCTTGTTTTCAGAGTATTATACATGCTCGCTATGTCATCATGTCGTGTGACTTATGATGGTTGTATGTTTGGTTGCTTTTCTGTTATTTTGGGTCATTCATTATTCAGCCAGATGGCTGGCTGCGAGAATGCGCATAATTTGATAAACCATAAACCAACCGACCATAAATTTCATCGAATCTACAATTTCAATCCCTGTAAAATCTGTGAGGTACATCGTCGCACATCTCTTTGTTTCAGCTCTCGAGTGTACAATTCTGGAGCCAGCGTTTCACCAGCTGCCCCGCTTGTCGATTTGAGCCAAATTACACAGGATTGTCCCAATTCTGCCGGGTTTTTTTTCTCTCCCCGGCTTATTCAACATCAGCAAATCTGTCTCTCTGATTGGCAAACGAAAAAAAGTTCTCCCAAGGAATGAGGTATCACCAGAGGTCACCAGCTGATTCCCACGCGCTGCCCCAGAAATTGGCCAAGCGGCGACTCAAAGATTGACCCTTAATCAGATCGTGGCGCAAGGAGAGAAAGAAAAAAAGGAAGAGAAGAGCCGGCTAATGTAGGCTTAATTCCCTAGCAATTACAGTCGCTTCGTTCTGTGACGGCGAGAGCAAGAGAGAGGGGGGAGAGTGATGGCAGAAGAGGGGAGGGGGAAGTCTTGGACCTGCTTCACCCAACTTGAGGCCGATACTTAAAATGCAAGCGTGAACGGTCCATTACCGCATTCTACCCCCACACCCTCACCCCCTCTGTTGTGGCCTGGATTTCGCTAGTGGGCCAGCGGCCGACATCACATGAGCTCCGACTACCCGTCCGGACGGGTCTCTCATTTTTATCCATCCGTCCCCGGCTTTCTCTCAAGAGATGTGGAGGACAAGCAGCCTGCTTCTCCTTGTGCTCTTTTCTTAGCTCTCACTGTCCACTTTCCAAATGCCCGTTTCCCCAACGACTCAAGTCCATTATCTCCGGCGCTGGCGATCTCTGTTTTTTCGTCTGTGAGTGCGCCGAGATCCCCCCCCCAAATGTTTGATCCACTGACAAACAAACCTTGGCCACAGGAAAAAAAAAAAAAAAAATCACACTTAAAAGCCTTCGGTGCATTTATTGTATTTGACGTTCTTTACAACCGGGCATCCATTATCGTTATCGTTCTTGTATCTTTTCACCCCAAAAGGCCATCTTCCCTCTATCCTCACCCCCTTTCCCGCCCGGACTCAACGGAGTGGTCAAAACAAATTATCATCTCTACTAGACTATATGTATGTCCTCACAAGATGTCAGGACATTGAGGATATTACATTTGGGATTAAAAAAAAATGTCAGCAAGCAATATCAACAATACAGACAGGAATCTCATAAATCTTCTAACAGTTGGTAACATCTTTCTTTAGAATTAAGTGAAATTGAAGTCAACCCAAAAGTACCAAAAACAAGAAAAAAAACACAACAAACAAACACCAAAATACTCAACTGAGTATCTGCATTGCCAACTGACGCTGATTTGAACAAGGAAAACTTTTACTGTCAAGCAAAGTTCAAGTGAAGAACTAAATGATTGTTCCTACAGTCGGGTACTGGAAACAATGCACGGCTTCGCTCAATTTATAGAATACATCATCTGGATTGAGCCATGAATCTCTCCATTTTCTGCTATAGTTTAATGAGTTCACCAGCTCCACCATGTCCACTGAACTTTACAAGAGATTTAAGGGTAACAGCTTTGGTCTCAGATGCTACTGAAATGAGTATGAGAATGCTTTAAAATAGGCACCAAAAATAATACAAGACATAACACAGTCTCTGTACGAAGGACAATTCCAATTAATTAAATTACCCTTTCAGGAGAAGATGAGCAGAGAAGACTCTACAAATTAATGGTGATCATTTTAACATTTTAAATGTTATGAACACGCATGCAAGTTGGACTTGACAAAAAATGCCGCAATTCTGATATTCACCAGACTTTGTATAATCTCTTTCAGTTTTGCAGGGCAGTTCTTTTGTTCCATGGGGAAACCTCCCTCGTACGTACCCTGTGAAACAAAAGCACTGGCCTTCAAGATGGCAGCCATGCAAACCCTCTATACAGCACTGAATGATGCGAGGAGATGATGGTACTTACTATCGTGCTTGCATTGATGTAGTCTGAGCTTTGTGCATTGGTGGAGTCATTCAGTAATACCCGTGTATGGTCATCTGCAAGAGGAGACACAATGAGGGAGAGATTTTAAATTTCTCAAATAAATTCAAAACCTCAGGATCTGCAGTGGACATGTTAATCCTACGGAAGCTCGCTCACCAACAGAGACTCACCTGTCAAATATCACTATCCCATCAGAGCTTGCTGCTCTTGCCAACACTCACTACCTGTCAAAAATTTGCCGTGTCAACATGAACTACCGAAAAAATCTTAACGTCAAAAATTCACTACCTGTACCTGTCAAACCAAAGATGCCATCGTGTAGATGCTATCCTGTAAAAATTTGCTATTCAGGGTAAACGACTATGTTTCCCAGGCTAAATTCATTATTCTGTGGTAGCCTGCAATCTATATACCAAAACTATGCTTTGTCAAAACATGTTGTGCATGAAAAATTGTAAGCCCACTAAACCCTTTTTTCCTGTCAAAACCTACTCCTTTCTGTCAAAAGGTTCCATTCCAATTAAAACCAAACCAATCCTGTCAACACCTCCTACCTTGTCAAAACTGAGCTTCAATCTGTCAATAAATCCTATCCTGCTGGGCTACTATCTGTAACAAATCTGCCAGGATCCAATAATCCCTGTGCAACCGTCCAAATCGGCAAAACCTTCCAAATCTGGCCAGACCCACTCTTCCGTCAAAACCACCCACCCTTGCCCTTTAATCTCTGTCCCGGGCACCCGCCACGCTCGAGCGGTGACAAACTGCAGGATTGTGCATTCCCGACTGTAATAATGGATGAAGTATCGCCGTCGTGCTGAACCGTCCAGAAAGCATTATTAATGCAAGTGAACTCCTTCAGAGGCTGTATCGTTCATTCGCTCATCCGTATGCCTTCCATAAGCAACTGCTTTTCAGATCGGCATTAAAATGCACTTGCATTTACAATGTCATGAACAGTGCCTGGTTTGCATTCATCATGCCACTCATGTGCACCATTTGTGAAAGGGCTTATAGCGGCAAAACACAGTTTGTGAAAGGGCTCATAACGGCAGAATGATTAGAGGCTGATCAGTCCAAACTGACACTCCAACTAGTCTGCTTAATCTGAGCTAATTACACACTAATGGCCTGGATTAAAGAGTGGTAATCGGGGTTCATGGGTGACTAACAACTAACTTCAGCGTTCCTGCAGTTTTTCGTTTTTTATATTGTCTTGAAGGTACGTGTGTGTGTATAATTTTTTTAACCACGTTTGTCTTAACTCTGGCATTTGACTGGTCATGTGAGGTGCAGAAATGGAGATAAAATTTTGGCCCATTCGAAACTGATCACTTGCAAAGAACATATCTCTCGATGTTATGTAACAGTGGAATCAAATCCAGTCAGTGTTCCTGAGCAGGGCAGTTTATCTTAGGGAACGTGCCACCCCCTGCCGCCATGCATGTACCTACATGTAAGAGGAGGTAGGGTGGTGTCTTTTGCCGTAATTGACGGCACTGAGGTGTATGCTTTCCACACAGCTGACAAAACATCTCCAGCAACATGTTGGCAAATGCATTGCACTATAAATCCAGATCTCTGTTACAAGTCCTGCTTTGTTGTTTATTCACAGAAGGAGGTAGATTTAATATTGAAAATGTGTAAAATAAATTTCAGCTAGTTCACAGACGGGGGAAGTTTAGAGACTAAGCGAACAGACCAGCATCCAGCACAATCACTGGTTACATGCCACGGACATCTCTAACCCTACCATCATTAATTCTGCCAAACTCCATCACCAGCTCCGAGATTCCCTAAGACTGATAATCCCTACACTCCACAACTACGTCCCTTTCCCCGGACACCCTACCCTACAACCTATCTCGCTCGGCGAGCCTGGCCGTGCACCACCAATCAGATCCAATCTACTGGGCTAGACAGCCTGTTTGCTCTGCTCCCTCCGGTTAACCTCCGAATATACATCTCCCCCAGATGAGCTCTGCATCTGTGGCTGATCACGGCCTGTCCTGCCCAGCTCATTACCCACAGCATATAGACACACTCTGCTCTGCGTTACGCCTGGAATGGTTCTCCAAACAATCTGACAGTTGACGCCACTCATGCATTCTGCGACATCCACGGACAGCACCAAGTTTCTCTAAAAGTATGTTTCCCCCCGAGCTTTTGCATTTCGTACCCAGGGATCTGACATTCCAATTTTTCCAGACAGTAATCAGCCATTTACAGGGGAAAACTGGCTAGGTTAGGATACACCTTTCCCCAGCAAAGCAAAGGAAGAAATACGTAACATTTGAAGACTGATATGCAGTATTTTTTTCATTCCAAATGTACATGTCATCTGATGTATATCTGAGATCAAACTGACAATACAGGTGCCGAGAGCTTGGGTCTAAATAACTATTTGAGGACATTGGGATATTATCAGCAAAGTAAATGCTGTATTTTTTTAAAAAACAACAAAAAGTGTCCCACTTCTGGGGACATCTCTTACATGGGAGGACGTCCTGGTAGCGGTTCTTGGGGACGTTGATTGCTAGAGCCCCAACCTCAGTGCTACTGATGTCCGGCTCATACCGACAGAGAGCCTCCCACTCTTTGGTAATCCTGTCCTTGTTACGTAGATGATCCTCCATGTAGGACTGAGGACGCAAGGAAGAGACACAAAAGAACCCCAAAATGAAGTCACTCTGGTATCATATTAATAAATACTCGTGCCGGTAACATTGCTGTACAACTTTAATAAGTTCAACAGATTATAAGCAGGTATAGTTTGTTGCCGCTGTTACAAGAGAGCTAGATTTTTTTTTACTACATGTAAGTTGGAAAAGCTGAAGTTCCCAAAAAAACCTGGCATTTCCAAACGTAATTGCTTCACTCTGAATTCATTATTCAAATTCAAATTCAAATTATTCGAACTGGAATGACTGATCTTTGTTGACGTTCATGCAAAAAAAGTAAACATGGAATTCACATTCTGAAAGGGTGTTTATGAGGCACAAATACACATAAGTGATTTAAAGTGATGACAAGTTAGACATATTAATTTGCAGTTGGCCCACTGAAAAAGACAGAAAGCTTGATTTGGGTCAAGACTTTACTTTTGACTTTTATCTGCCCCCGGAAATCTCCAGGTACCGCGGCCGGTATCTTTGTGACCCACTCTTTCAAAATGAGTCCTCGGGTCAACTTTTCAGTTATTTTGTGTTGGTTTACATTAAAAAGAGCAAGCTTTAGCTCTTTGTTTTGAGGCACCCTTCTTGTCGGCATCCTAGTGAAAGTGGGATTGTGGGAGTGAAAAATGTTGATGGCCCCATTTGGTTTACATTGGGCCAGATGCTTTTAAAGACCTTGTCAACAGTGGCTCGGCAAGCCCTCTCCCGCCAGAACACAACACACCTCCGAAGACTCACCAGGACTATGTGGCCGGTGGAGATGTCCATGTTGGACTGCACGGGCTCCTCGCTCCATGACGACGTGCTGCTACGGCTGGACGGACTGGGGTTGGCGCCCTCGCTCATGGCTACGCTACTGATGCGACTGAGCGGCTCCGGCTTCTCTGAGGACTTGCTGGCCATGCGCTGCCGACACAAATCCTGGCGGCCCCAGCGTAGGAGGAAGACGGGACGGTGGGGAGGGAGGGAGGGTCGAGACGAAAGGAAGGAGAAAACAGGGGGAAAAAAAGTACAGATTGGATCAATGAGATATAGATTGCCAGGGACCTGACGCTATTAAGAGGATGTCCCACAGCGGTGTCGAGGGAGGACTGTTCAGGGCAAACAGGTTGTTGTTTGTATCTTCTTGGCAGGTTTCAGTGAACAGTAAGTTTTTTTTTTCTTCGGAGGAACGGGTCATCAACACAAACGACCAAAACCAATTTGCAAAGGGACATTTCTCTGAATGTCTGTTTTTGAATCAACAGTAGATTTTTTCCATTCTGGTATTGGATTTTGGAGGACATGGTCTGATTTCAACTATTAAAATTGCGATAAACAGGAAAATCTGAATAATCAGCGACAATAGTGTTATACATTAACTCCAACTCTCCAGTCTTTATGAAAATTCCTTTTTCCTTGCTTATATTGACTACATCAATAAAACACTCAGAAACAGCATTGCTACCGGCTGTGTGGGACAATGTGTCTCTGAAAAGATTTTAGTTGCAAAAATAAAAATAGTCTGACACATAGTCTTCAATGTTCCGGAGCACAATAACTATGCCCAAGAGCAATATTTTGGGTAATAAAAGATGAAAGAAGCTTTGTATTTCGAGTGAAATGTCTTTTCCCTTGAGATTTCATGTCAGCATTTATCACATTTAATTACAAACCCGAATAATGCAAAATTCCAATAACATCTCAAAAATGAAATCAGGATTTTCCTAACCTCGACATTTTTATCACAGACAATTTTTTTCAATCCCCTTGATGAATCGTCGACAGAACAATAAAAAAAATCTATAATGCCATCGGAAATGCATACTTCCACGTCAATCACTCCAAAACTCCAGCGAGTCATTTCCTGGACGGTGTAGGCACTTCAAACACCCGCAAGAATGCGAGAACGAATAGGCAAGGAGTGAGAGTGACGGACGTGGCGGGAGCGAATGATGGGGCCCAGGCATGCTACGACCACCTGTGCAGGTGGATGTCTCGATACACTTGACCCCGGCCAAAACCGCTCCCAGCGACCGCTCTGCGAGAAACGCAGCCCTTCAACAGCAGCTCAATTTGAAGTTGCCCAATAGAACAGAGGGAGAAAAAAAAAGTAAATCTCAAAAATGAATCGGTAGCATTATCGGCGTCCCGTTGCTAATTTCCTTTTTTTTTTATAAGTGTCACTTCACGGAGCAAGGATTGCCCGCAGAGTAACAAAAGATTCGGATGCAAAGGGTGGTGAAACCAAACTGCTGGTGTTACCTGCACTATTCAAAAAAGGGGGGGGAGGTCTGCAAGTTTCAACAGCAGAAAGAGTGAAAATATTGGATTGACCTGCAGAACAGAGATTGTCCTATCGTTGGCCGCGATAGCTGGAAACCAGTTTATTGTGTGCACTACCGGAGGGGAAAGGTGTTGTATGGGGGGGGGGAAGCTGTTGCCAAGGATACATCAACAGCTTTGTTACGACAGCCCATTTCATCAATCAGTCTCATTCCTACAAGGGCAGTAAGCTGTGTTATCCATCAGACATCTCATTCACTTCAGCGCCACCACTGCATCATAATGCCAGGCAGGAATGCCGACAAAGTTCTTGCTTGACAGGAGCAGGTGTTAGAGTCTACAGCCAGCCCGCATTTTAGCCCATGTGAAGATTTGGCTCCTCAAAACCGAACGACCGAACAATGCGTACATGTACTTGCATAACCTGAAAAATACCGAGCGACCACTCTGTAAAGGATCAGTGTGCATCTTAAGCTGCACTGAAGCGAGTTCTAGATGCATGTACACGTCTAAGATTTCAAATCTGCATCGTCTCTTCCTCTAAGCTCCTATTCCTGAATATGAAAGTCAATTTTGTATTCACTGATTGATGAACTGGATGTGCCACCAAAGCACTTCTGTGTCTGTCCACTGTTTTGTCACCATGCCTGTCTCTGGTTTTATTTACACAATAGTCACCTATGGTACATGTCCACTTTAAAACCCATACTGACGTCATTTGTGGATGTGTCTGTCCATCCATCTGTCACTATGTCTGTCAAGGGTTGTATCTACCCGACTGTTGGCTAACCTCCCTACATCTCTGTTTAAGAGTGTCCGTCCACCGATCTGTCACATCTGACACAAGGGTAGTATTCACCAGATCATCAGCTAACCTGCCCATCTGTCAACCCATCTGTTGCTATGTCTATTCAGGGCAACAAATCAGCTCACCTCCCTGATCTCTCTTTAAAAAATGGTCATCCCTCCACCAACTCCAGGGTGTCCGTCCACCTATATGTCACCATGTTTATCAAACGTTGCATAAACCTGATAATCATCTAATCTCCCCTTCCTCTCAGTATGTCCACTCATCTGTCTAGGGTGGCAAACTTCCCCCATCCCACTGTTTAAGTTGGCAATCTCACCACCCACCCCAGGGTGTCTGTCCACCCATCTGTCACCACATCTGTTGAGGGTTGCATCTTACCTGATAATCAGCGGTTGCCTCCCCCTCCACGGCGGCCCCGTTGGAGGCCAATCCTTTGAGCTTGGCCCGGACTCGCGCCTTCTGTCGGTAGCAGTAGACAGTGACGACAGCGATGAGAATCCCCACAATGCAGGCCACCAGGACCACCGTCACAACGATCAGGGTGGAGTTGTCGTCCCGGGGGTAGTCCAGGACCGTGATGTCGGTCTGAAGTGAATGAACAAGATTAGAAGAAGATTGAGACAACTGAACAGTGAACATCAACAACTAAGCACGCCATGGGGATTACATTCTGTTAGACCTCAATCTTCAGTGAACAACTCTTCTGGCTATTTGACAAACAAGAAAATGCACCTAAAGTATCAGTGAGCAAGAATTTCTAGGAGGTGCAAACTTTACTCTCTTATATCCAAAGTTAAGAGCTGGTAAACATCCAATTAAGAAATGGCACAAATGGCCCTTTTTTCAAGAGTATGAAAAATTTCACTGCGTGAAGTATTTTTCATGGATCACACTGCCTCCTGTTGGAAGAGCAGGGCAAAAACAGGGGCACATAGCTTACAACGTTAATTGACAAATGAAAAACCAACCAGCAACATTTGTGCATATGTTCCCCAGTGGCCTAAAATTACACCTGCGCAAACCGTGAACCGATTTACATGAACAAACCGCACACAGCCCATGAGGAAATTAGGAACTGAAGCCCCACTTGGAGTGTTCTGATCCTGTTTGCTCAAACAAACATCTGTTATTGATGAACAAACAGGGAGATTAGAGCAAACGCTGACTGAACCAGTGACGGATGCAAATGAATTTTGCGCAGTATATGAGAATGAAGTGAATATTGGGTGCGTGTGGCATTCGCTGATACAAAATGGTGGGCTATTTCTGATTGCTTCATGGAGAAACCGAATCCGCCTTCAAACTGGAGGCGCTACAGCCGTTCGCTCTTATTGCCTTTCGTTTGACTGACACTCGGGTGTCATTTAATTTCCCCTGGGGGATCCTCGTCCGGATGCTCGCTGTGACATAGGCTGGTCAGCAGTCTGAGACACTTCCGGCCTAAGGACTTTGTCACCACCAGTAGCCTGACTACCAGTTACCAGTAAAAATCAACAACGCACGCGCATGCACCTTGAAGTGCGGCACAAACTCCAAAGATTGAAGAAGATGGAGTGCCGTGAGCGGACCTCATCAAGGCGGCCCTCCAACATATTTTCCCTCCCTGCCATGCGATCACGCAAAGGACACTTTAAGTATTTGCCGAGCTCGTTGAATATTCTGTTTCACCACGTCGCTACCATTCAAACAAGCTGCATTGGTCACAAAGCTATCACCCCCCCATCTAAATCCCTAACTTTCCCAATTCTTCGAATTGACGACTTGAGAAGCAAACTGACGTCAAACGACAGCATTAGTGACTGACTATTCTCAATCTCTCTCCTCAAATACCCCCCCTCCAAAAAAAATTTCAGCCAGGATGTCTGAATCGAGTTTACCACTTTCAACAAAAACATAGCCCTGAATCCGCAGGTGTTTTTTCTCTGCCCCTTTCTTTTTTTCCCTCTCTTCTCACACCAACTGATTGTCCTTCCTCTAACCCCCTTCCGTTTCTGTTCTTGATTTCCAATCCTCGCTGCGTTGATCACCCGCACTGGCGAACAAATATGAGAACTTCTCCCTAAGACCGGGTGGGGATATGAGAGAAGAGGAGATAGAGAGATCGAGTCCAAGGCTCTTGGGCAGAAGCAGCGCCGTTAGAATTGCAGATGAGGTACTTTCACCTCGGCCTCGGCTCAGAGTCTTTCTCCAAATGTCAAGCCAAATCCGGTCATCACCGGGGACATTATTCAAACCAGGATCTGTCGCCTGTTAAACTCCTCTGACACCCGCTCGCTCGGGCTCTGGGGAGGGATGGGGTACGGACCGAGCCCGACAAAAAGAGAAGAAGAAACAAAAGAGTGCACCTGATGTACATCTTCCGCAAGGAATTTCCCCACAGCTTTTTTGGTTTTGGATTGGATTGACTTTGAATGCAAATGGGGTTTGACTTTGAGATGTTTTGCAGATTGCAGGTGACAAATTCAAACATTATTTCCGGAAACATTTAGTCAACAGGAGGTTGAAAATGTAGATGCAAATGGACGTTTCCATATGCGATATTTGATAGCCTACATACTGCACTTATTTCTATCCCAGAGCTGATGGTTATTCCATTAAAATTTGCAATTCAAGAAGAGAATATCATTAAGTTGAACTGGAGGGAGGATTGAATTGTTTTCACCTTAACAGTCTATAAACATTGTCATTGACATCATGCAGAGCAAATCTGCGGTGTAGTGAGGAATATGACTTCAATTATCGTTTACGGAAACTGAGACAACAGGTACATGTACAACGGAATAATTCAATTTGTATCCTGCAAGTAACCCCATGATAGAACACGAAAACTATCATTTCACCGGGTGAAATAAATGCCAGTGACAAATTAATTCCTTCAATTAAAAGTCGTCTTCAAGCTACGACTAGCAATGCAGTCTTGTGCCTGTATGCTTGCGGCTGAGATCAGTTGCGCTCATTCGATAACCAAACCTCCTGCGCGATTTCGCTTGAAATTTTTTCAACGCATTCGAAACGAGATAGACTATCATGTCAAATGTAAAATTTGATCCTGGTTGCCTCCCTGCATACCATATATGCTTTGATGTGCAAAGCTGTGGCTTCGGCAGATTTTGGGGCATTTGGGATGATTGGGATGAAGACAGACAACATGTTTACAAACCCGCTTTGCCGAGCTTGTCTAAAAGAACACATGGAGGTGAATCATCACAGTTTGCCTGCACCATAATCATAATTGTTGGTGTTCCCCCCCCCCAAAATAATAACCCCTTTTCATGGTTACAGCTCACAAATGTTATGAAGATCAGCGTCGGGGACTGAGGTTATTTGAGTAAATTTTACACCCAAAATGAACAAGTGTTGTTTGGGAGCATTTCCAGTACCAGAAACACGATCAACAACGGCAAAAAAAAGGAGAAAGAATTGTGTTCGGTGATTATGACATGCCTGTTACAATCACTGTGAAGTGGTGTTCATGCATGGATGAGTCCCAAATCCCACAATACCCTGGGACTGCCACGTGGCCACACGTGGCACCCATTGTCCCTGGCCACATAAAAAAAAAACATTGACCCCACTGAAGAGAGGAGCGAGGGAAGGGAGGTCACGCGGGAGGGATGAGTGTTTGTTCAGTTAGCGTGGGGGCAGCGCACCCATGTTTGTGTGCGTGTGGGGGGGGCAGAATGCAATGATTAATGCTCCATGCTCCATTGGCAGCTGGCCCTGTTTTCTGAATGGGGCCGAACAAAGGTCAGCCGGCGCAATTTTTCTATGGTTTCCAATTATGCACGGGTGTGGAAGGCTGCTGCCAACGGTGGCCTGTCCAGCATTATGCTGCCAACGCATTTTAATTGCTAATTTTTAATATCTCTACATCTACATTTTAATTCTGGCATATTATGGTGAGAAATTTAGTTAGATGAGAGAAATGAGACATTCTGGCAGCATACAAGCTGGAATTGTTTGCAACAATGAATTTATGCATGGAAGTATTTTAAAGTAATATGGGAGCATTTTTTTATAGAAATGTTACACAGATGTTTTCTCATGTTTTTTTAATGTGAAATTTTCAACTCCAATTTTCAAAATGTTGAAAAAATTTAGCAATCTACCACATGAAACAACTGCCCATAGAATTTTTTTAAAGCAAAATTAAAAAAAAATATATCAGAGTCTGCGTCACCTTGACAAATCTTGAATAGGACTTGCTAATCGTTGATGTCCATTGACAGACAAAACAACAGAAGAAAGAAACCAAGAAAAATTGTATGTGAATGCAGTCATCAAGAAATGATGTGTTGATATTTCATATGCCAAAGACCCGAGCCCTTTCTGTGTCCCTGAACCATTTTCATGCCCCAGTTTTGCTGGCATGAGGCACTCGCCCCGTCATCGAAGTGTGAGTAATGTGTGTTGAGATGTTGTGGGCAGGTCAAGCCAGAGCCTGGGCTCCCTGGCAATAATGAGCACACCCTCCACGAGATTAAAAATGTAAGATGCTGACATGCAAGGCTTCCAGGATCGTGACCGGTGGATATGGGAAGTGGAGATGGGGGGGGGGTTTGCAGCTTGCGACCGGTGGTATTCCAGGGGTGACTTCTGATCAATCCATCAGCGGATTTCTTTTTAAAGGGTAGTGGGTGTTTGGTTGCATGTGATCAGACTTTTTGATCAAACATATCAAATGTTACGCTGGGGACGAGGGAGACAAAACGTGATTTTTCATGTAGAAGTTAAGCGCGCTCAATTATGTTCATTGCAAACTTGACCACAGTTCTGAATCCAAATCAAAAAGCAACACGTGAGAAAGTGGGTTTTGCAGTGTGGAAAGTAAGGCTCCATGGAATTACCCCAGGAATGAATATTTACAGGTTAGGCAATGGGTATATGTTGAGAATCAAAGGCATGATTGATTTATAATCTAGATTCTGATTAGATTCTGTAAATCTTGAGGCCTATGGTCAAAACCTGAAGGCAAATTGCAGGGCAAAAGCCAAACTATACTGGCCAGGAATGCATAGCACTGTTACAATCCTCCAATGAATGGGTCAAACCTACCGAGAAAATGTCACCTGCACTACCTGGAAAAACATGAGCCTGAAAAGTCCACAGTTTAACGACCACTTTAAAGGCCGCTTTACAGGCCAAAGTCCAGAGGAGGCAGGCACTGACTGAAGGCCAAATTGCAGATCACAAACACAGTCACAAATGTCCTTGTCACATCTCATTTGACATCCTGAAACATCCTGAAGTCATCAGCTGTGCTTCCTATAAAACGCCACATATGTCAATAATACAAAACGAAACCAAAACGAAAAGCACTAACCGTGATGGGACCCTTCCATTGAATAACCTCAATGGTCCAATACAGATACGTCAAGACCGGTAGTTTGTGAAACCATTTAGTCCATTGCTTCGGTGTCATTCCAAACTGGTGACCAACACACGCCAATCCATTTTCCACCCTTACTCTCTGCGTCTCGGTTACAACTGGCGGTGCTTGGCATGTAAATTTATTCTGCCCGCGTTCATCCGTGCCCCCTCAACTAAACTGACCATGAAATTGTCTCCAAATAAATTCCAATCCG